TCTGAGTCTGAGTCTGAGTCTGAGTCTGAGTCTGAGTCTGAGTCTGAGTCTGAGTCTGAATGACTGTGTCTGTGGTGTAGAGCGTTGGCCCTTCACTGTGCTTGCAGAAGATGTCAGTTGATTTCTATGTGCAGAGAGTTTTTGTCAAGTATCTCTTTGTCTTCTGGGACATGGTATCCCTTATTTGGCCCATGTTGGCCCTGATAGACAGAGTGGAAGCAGCTCGCCATGTAAATCATTTCTCTTGTATGATGGGGGTGGTAAACATGTACAAACAATAATACCTGTCTTACTTTCTGTATTGCTCTAAATGACCGTTATTGTATTGATGTATTTCTAGCTTTCTTTATTCAGACAAATCAAACTTTTCTTCCTCAGTTTCAATTAAAAAATTAACTCTTCTAAACTCTGACCGCCAGCGGTTCATGGGTGCTCTGGTGTGCTTTGCTCCTTCTTTCCGATGAAACATCTGTCGTCCTTATCTCTCCTCCTTCTTTCCGATGAAACATCTGTCGTCCTTATCTCTCCTCCTTCTTTCCGATGAAACATCTGTCATCCTTATCTCTCCTCCTTCTTTTCTGTGTTTTGTTACTGTCTTGTAACACTTTTAATCTTCTCCCCTTATATGACCTTATTGTGTTGCAAGTGCCGTATCACTCTTACTAAGAAAAACTAAACTATGACAGAAATAGCAAGGTTTTGTGAAGTAAAGCATAACTGCACTGATGTCTTCACTATTTTGTGTGTCCTGAGTGTAGCGAGAGTTTCTGTCCACAGGCACAGGTTACTCAGCCTAACTCTTCTGTGATAGAACAGATAGCCTTGTCCAGCAACGGGGACATCCGGTCAGCTCTGAACTCTCTCCAGTTTGCCTGCAGGATGGGTCAGTACTCTTGTTATCTGGGATTTTTTTAACTGATTATTTATCGAAATGTATTGGGAATATTTTTCTATGAGTAAACACAATTGGCTGTCCAGAGAATATTGTATCTGTATTGTCCAGTTTTTAAGGTAATTTCAATGTTTCTTCCTATCCTAATGGGGTGCTATGTTCTCAAGTTGCTATTGTGCACCTCCCTCCAATGGGAGGAAACGAATAGAATATTTACCAAAATGGCGTATGGAATATGGGAGCATGAAAAGGAGAGACTCTAAACCTTAAGTTGATCAGAAAATAGGCTGTATGTGTAAAACTTAATTTCTCTGTGAGTTGAAGAGCCTATCATTGACTACCCCCGAGCTTGAGCAATGAAGCAGAGAAGAGGAACCAGACTGGTCTAGGAATCAAGAACAATGACATTTCTCCACAGACACTGCAGACCTGAAACCTCCTGTCAGTTCTGCACCGAGAGGTCGGCTCAAGAAATCTGGGACGGACTCAAAACTGAAATATAGAACATCTGGGAAGGAAGATGTTGCTAGTTCAGGGGGAAGCGTGGCCTCAGCCATTGGAGCCAAGGATACCTCAATCTTTCTTTTCCAAGCTGTGGGGAAAATCCTGTATTTGAAACGTAAGTGTTCAGGGATGCACGCCCCCCATGTCCTCTTTGCTTGGCTTTTCCTCTTGAGCACTGCAGGATCAGAAAACCTTACTTGTAATCTCATTAGCAAAGGTGAAAAGATCAAACAAGTCCGACAGTTTAAATATCTAGGATATATAAATACATCTGACGCCAAATGGTCCACAGAAATAAAGAGGAGAACTGCAACGGCTAAGGCTAGTTTCAATAAAATGAGCCCAATCCTGAAATATAGAAACATATCAATGAACACTAAAATGAAAGTTCTGAAATGCTATGTATAGTCAACCCTTCTAAATGGCTGTGAATGCTGGACAATCACTAAAGACGGTGAAAATAAAATAGAAGCAACAGAAATGTGGTTTCTTTGGAGACTGCTAAGAGTATCGTGGAAGGAAAAGAAATCAAATGAGGTAGTGCTTGATGAAGCCCACGTGGGATGCTCAATGTTAAAAACAATCAGGAAACGACAAATGCAGTTTTTGGGACACCTGAATAGACATAAGGGTCTTGAACATCTAGCTCTCACTGGCAAAATTGAGGGCAAGTGAGGCAGGGGTAGGCCCAGAACAACATACTTAGGGAACCTAAACAAATGGGCAACAGGGAAAGATCAGGGAAACGTAGCTTTTTTTAGAGCATCCGAGCATTGTTGGCTGAGGTAAATCATCTGATCAGCTGCATGTATTTAGAAATAAGAAACATTAGTAAAATACGTCATCTGATCAATACCAAGTATACTGCTTTGCTAGTTACTGGCTTAGTTTTATCAAAACTCGATTATTGTAACTCCTTGTTATCAGGAATATCACTGGAGAAAGTTAAAAGACTCGAAACTGTCCAAAACTATGCTGCACGTTTAGTTTTACGGAAAAGAAAGCGAGACTCTGCTAAACCTCTTTTACGAACTTTGCATTGGCTTCCTGTTGAGAAAAGGATTGTGTACAAGTTGGCCACCATATGTCACAAATGTTTGAATGATAATGCACCATCATATTTATCAAATCTGTTAAGACTGTACATTCCAACTCGCAGTTTAAGGTCATCAGCTGACAAAAAGAAATTTCTTTTATCATCTATGAAACTTAATACAATGGGTGAAAGGGCATTTGAATACCAAGGCCCCAAGATCTGGAGATCTGGAATGCTTTACCAAGTACATTGAGAAAAATCAAATCTTTTGATTCATTCAAATGTCAGCTGAAGTCGTTTCTGTTTTTAAATTAATAAGATGAAAATTTGGAATAATTTTCTTTAGTCGGAACACAACGTTTCATGTTACTGTTGTATGTTGTACTGTATTGTAAAGCGCTCAGAGCCTGTGTACTTTATTCGGGGTTGAGCGCTATAGAAATGTCATTTATTATTATGAAGTGCTGTAAAAGTCTAACTAAAATTAAAAGCAATAAAAAGTTACTGAAGCACTGAGGATATCTTGTTCTGTGTACACGACAGGTGGAGACCCCAGCACGCAAGCGGATCATCCGTGTCTACCTCGTCACCTAGAACTTCATGACCGACATCCTTTACTGATGAACCCAGAGGTAGGAACGTTTCTCCTTTGAACTTGGAATGAAGACCTTATGCCGTTTGCTAAGACGACTGGAGCACAACTAGTTTTCAAGAACTATTTCCAGAGAAATTGTTGATGCTTTTCATAGAGTGAACATGCCACATTTTGTTGATGCTTTTCATAGAGTGAACATGCCACATTTTGTTGATGCTTTTCATAGAGTGAACATGCCACATTTTGTTGATGGTTTTCATAGAGTGAACATGCCACATTTTGTTGATGGTTTTAGATTTTAAGGCTGAGGAAAAAACTCAAAACTATTAAAAGCAACAATTGTGTTTTAAAAAACATTCTGTGGGTTTTTGAGGTGTGAAGGCCTATTTAGTTTTCAGAACTTGAGCCTGTGTGTGTCTGTGTCTGTTTTTCCTCCATTCCTCTCTCGAGCATGTGTTTTTGTAATCTCAACCCACACAAATGCACATATTAGGATTGCCAATAAATCGTGAACACTAGGATAAACAGGCCCCGCTCCGTGCTCGAGTTGTCACCTGCCGCCAGTCTGCACCTTGGCTCTCTTTGGAGTTCCAACAGCTCAGACAGGAACAAAGACGTGCTGAGAGAGGATGGAGGATATCCAAATTGACAGTTCACAAGCAAATGTTCCAACAGCTCAAACAGGAATGAAGACGTGCTGAGAGAAGATGGAGGAAATCCAAATTGACAGTTCACAAGCAAATGTTCCAACTGCTTAACCATCAAGTGAAATCCTGTGCTAATACCGATCGGAAAAAGTACTATTCTGCAGAAATTGTTGAATGTCCATCCTCAAAAGCTTTAAGATATCAAAAGAACTCAGTGGACAAGCCAAAACTAAAATCTTGCCCAACAATGTTCCAATGGAACCACTGCCAGACAAATTCTGTACTTCCTTCAATAACAGTTCCACGCTGCTGCAAAACAGCATCTACCTCACCTCTGATGGAAAAGCCTGGCCTTGACCCTAATGACCTGAAGAACTACCGTCCAGTATCAAACTTACCTTTTCTTTCCAAAGTTTTGGAAAAAGTTGTTCTTGCACAACTGAAAGATCACCTCCCAAAGAATAACTTGTTGAGACATTTCAATCGTCAAACAGAGACAACCATAGTACTGAGACTGCTCAGAATTGTCTGTGATCTACCCAACGCTGCAGATGAGCGTTTGATATCCATTCTCTCACTTTTACACCCGTCTGCAGCATTTGATACTTTAGACTACAACATCATGTTGAGTCGTTTGTCAGACATTTTCGGAATATCTGGCACCGTGTTTGAATGGTTTTGATCTTACCTCAGTGATAGATCATTGTTGTTGTTGATAGCATGCAATCCTGTCATCAATTGCTGGAATTTGGTGTGCCCCAGGGGTCAGTCCTAGGACCTGTACTGTTCACCTCACCCCTTGGTCGTACCATCAGACACCATTCCATGCCCTACCATATGTACACAGATCATCATTCCATGCCCTGTCATATGTACACAGATCACCATTCCATGCCCTGTCATATGTACACAGATCACCATTCCATGCCCTGCCATATGTACACAGATCACCATTCCATGCTCTGCCATATGTACACAGATCACCATTCCATGCTCTGCCATATGTACACAGATCACCATTCCATGCCCTGCCATATGTACACAGATGACACACAACTTTACAAGTCTGCAAAACCCAACAAAATTCAATCCCTGTTAAAAGACACCTCAGAATGTTTTGAATCTGTAAAAGCATGGATGACTGAAAATAAATTAAAATTAAATGATGACAAAACATAAATCATGCCAAGCTCAACCAGCTCAAAGATAAATGCTCTTGATGTAGAATGTCTCACCATTGGCAAAGGTACTGTCACTTTTTCAAACAAAGCAAAAAACTTAGGAGTATACTTAGACAAAGACTTGTCCATGGTAGACCCAACTGAACCATCTATGTAAAATGGCATACTTAGAAATGAGAAGAATTGCTCACATAAGGAAATTTCTTAGCACTGATGCCACCAAAAAACTAGTGTTTGCCTTTATTTTGTCACGCATTGATTATTGCAATTCACTGTTCGCTGGCCTACCCGAAGAAAACATTGCAAAACTCCAACGCATTCAAAACATTGCTGCCAGGCTAGTATTAAAGCAATCAAAACGCCATCATGTGACTCCCCTACTTAAAGAGCTTCATTGGCTTCCACTGAAAGTAAACGAGAATTGAATATAAGTTAGCCCTACTATGCTTCAAAGGTCAAACTAACCAGTCTCCCACGTACATTCAAGAACTCATTGTACCATACACATCATCACGTGAACTAAGATCCAGTGGCTCTAGACTAATTTCAAAGTCTCGTGTGTCACTGAAGAAATACGGTGAGAGAGCTTTTTCTTTTTCTGGGCCAACAGTTTGGAACACTCTCCCTCATGACTTGAGGACAGAAATAAAACTTGATACTTTCAAAAAGGGACTCAAAACACATCTATTTAAGAAATATTTTGATTAATGGACGGTACAGTGGAACTCCGATTTAACGAGCTCGGATTCAACGAGAACTCGGATTCAACGAGATGAGATAGATTCCCCGTTTTTTTTCCTTCTTAAAATCAATAAAAGTAACCCGGATTCAACGAGCACTTAAATCAGCGAGCTGGGATTCAACGAGGTCGCTGCCATGGGGAACAGCCCCCGCAGACGTGGCTTCGCTCATTTTTCTCCCAGAACAAACTTTATCTATTCCCGGAAACCATCCATTGCACCTGCATCATGAACCATTATTCACTTAGCCGATTGCATGCGACCAATCAACGACCTTTTAAAATACCAACACGTGGGTTGTTAGCACGCGTACGTGTCTACTCTGACGTGTGGTGGGGTCGGATGGGCAGCCTGCGCACGTGTGGCTGTGTGCGTGTCGGGGAGGGGGGGGGCACTGGTGGTCCGGGCGTTGAACGTCGTAGATACAAACGTGTCAGTCTTTTTTCCCCCGGCAACTGATCACTATTACAATGATAAACTAGTCTTGACCTAGATCTACGTAATTAATTGTGCGCTGGTCTTTGAAATCAAGTTGCCGTATGCTCGGCTCTACACAGCAACACAACTTTTTCTTGGTAAAACAATCGAGATGACACAGGCTTGTGTATTTGAACGAATCGGTCTTTTTTTTACACAGCTCATAATATGCAGGCATTTCAGGCACTACTTGTGACTTCTCTTTATACATTACTTGTCCAGTGCCTGTAATTATCTACACAAAACCTTGAGTTTGCTATAACGAACACTCGGATTCAACGAGATTTTAGGTCAGGTCCAACGACCTCGTTGAATCCGAGTTCCACTGTATCTTTGCCTTTTTGTATGAGCATTGTTTTTATTGTCGGAAAGAATGTTGCTGTCAAAAAGTGCGCATATGATGAATTTGTATGGTGTGAGTATGAATGCGTTTTTCATCTCCTATGTACGCCTTGGGCCCACGCTGTGGGGAAAGGCGGGATATAAATGCTCTTATTATTATTAATAATAATGAAAAGTTCCCAATCATCCAAATCAAACGCTTTTGTTGTGATTTTGCAGCTGTTTTGTTTTACGGAAACTACTTTGGTTTTCCCGACTGACAGCCATTTTGTCTTCCCAGGAAGTCGCTGCCAAGTCTCACGTGTCTGGAGATTTCTTCACGACGTTCCTCCATGAAAATTACGTAGAATTCTTGTCCTCTGTAGAAGATTTAGAGAGGGCCTCTGAATATTTTAGTGATGCTGACTACATGTCAACTTTGTGGGCGGTAAGAGACTTTTTGCCGTCTTTGTGATCAGCCTCATGAGAGCATGTTTACATGTGTAATGTTCTTCAGCTAATACTCGGGTTTTATGGCAACAGTGTCTGCTAATTCAATTCTTATTTAATTTCACATTCTTTAAAATTTCTAAATTATATGAAACATTCTTTAATATTTCTAAATTATATGAAACATTCTTTAATATTTAAAAAAATATGAAACATTCTTTAATATTTTAAAATTATATGAAACATTCTTTTTACCACGGTGTAAAGCAGGGTGAATCACATCATCTCTGCTGATTAATGATGCAAAAATGCAACAAATAGAAATGCTTTAAACACTGATATTAAATTTGAGCTGAACTGGTTTTTAATTAAACAGTTTTTAGCTTCCAGGAAGATGGCCCATCTGTGCCCAACACCATAGGTCATATAAGCGCACACATTTAAAGATGTCTGTGCCATTGAAATGCTCATATTTAAAGATATTACTGCCATTAAAATGCTCATATTTAAAGATATTACTGCCATTAAAATGCTCACATTTAAAGATATTACTGCCATTAAAATGCACATATTTACATATTTAAAGATATTACTGCCATTAAAATGCTCACATTTAAAGATATTACTGCCATTAAAATGCACATATTTAAAGATATTACTGCCATTAAAATGCACATATTTAAAGATATTACTGCCATTAAAATGCACACATTTAAAGATATTACTGCCATTAAAATGCTCATATTTAAAGATATTTCTGCCATTGAAAGCATTCTGAAGTTTGCTCACTGAGAAGGTGTGTGTGTCTCACCTGCACGTTCCTCCCTCAGGCCCGGGAAGAACTGCAGCAGTATTCTGTCTCCGTGGCCACCAGGGGCTTCATTCACTCCAACTCCGACGTGGTTCGTCACGACAGCACAAGGAAAAATCACGGATGGCGTCCCTTGCACAAGTCTCGATGGTTTGCTACAAACAAACAGGTAGTTTTTTCATGAAGGTTTTGGGAAAACTGATCTCCGTGCTGACCAAGTGGATGGGGTCCGGGTTTACACGAGATGATGATGCTACTGGATCGCTAACAACAACAACACGAGATGATGATGCTACTGGATCGCTAACAACAACAACAACACTAGATGATGTTTTTTTATATACAATTTAGAGAAGCAAAAGTAAATCGATTTACTGGTCATATGGAAATAAGGTGAAACTGAACTGGGTCATGAAAGAAGGAGTTTGAAGCCCGTTTGTTTGGTCTGTCTCTCGAAATGTACAAGATTTGAAGTTATGGACTTTGACACAATGGGGAGCCCAGATGTATTTTGCTTCAAACATGAACTTTTTCTTCTTTTGTCCCCAGTGTTGGCATTGCTCAGGATGAAACTGAACATAATTTGTTGCACTTGTTGAGAAGGCAACTTTTTCAGATGACCGTTACTTGAAGCACTTTCATTCTCTCCCTGTTCCCATCTGAGCAGCCAGTAGCCAAGCCCTGCTGGAAAGATTTGTTTGATTCCCTTTCCAGTATTTGAATGTGTTCTGTAAATTCTTGTCTGTTCCCAAACCGTTGTGTGGTGGTCAGGCACTGTGCTGTCATAGACAGTAGACCCGGGTTTGATTTCCTGGTGGGGAGAAAGTTTTCTGAGTATCCCTCTCAGCTTGGGTTGACCCTGACAGACAGGGTGAGAAGCCTGCCTCTCAAATGTGACCCTGACAGACAGGGTGAGAAGCCTGCCTCTCAAATGTGACCCTGACAGACAGGGTGAGAAGCCTGCCTCTCAAATGGGACCCTGACAGACAGGGTGAGAAGCCTGCCTCTCAAATGTGATCCTGACAGACAGGGTGAGAAGCCTGCCTCTCAAGTGATCTAAATTGTGTTGATTGGGGTGTAAAATCACCTATATCAAACAAAAACAAAGTTTGATCCCCACAAATGCAGAAAGACAAAAAAACAACAACACCAAATACCATGTGTCTATTTCCTCTCTTGGTTTAGATTTGTGCCGGTCCTGTTTGTACGTGTGATACCAGGTGTTTCTTTTCTTTTCCTTCAGGCAAATGAAAACATAACAACTGCCAGACAGATTTTCCAAGGTATGATGTTTTGTCCTGCATGCCGGAGGGAGGCAATAAATTCCAAATTGTTGTTTATGGAGGAAGTGTAGCTGCTTAGTGTTAATGATAGGCTTATATGTCTGCTGGGGAAGGAGGAGTTGCCAATTAATGATCGGCTTCTATGTCTGCTGGGGAAGGAGGAGTTGCCAATTAATGATGGGCTTCTATGTCTGCTGGGGAAGGAGGAGTTGCCAATTAATGATAGGCTTATATGTCTGCTGGGGAAGGAGGAGTTGCCAATTAATGATCGGCTTATATGTCTGCTGGGGAAGGAGGAGTTGCCAATTAATGATAGGCTTCTATGTCTGCTGGGGAAGGAGGAGTTGCCAATTAATGATCGGCTTATATGTCTGCTGGGGAAGGAGGAGTTGCCAATTAATGATAGGCTTCTATGTCTGCTGGGGAAGGAGGAGTTGCCAATTAATGATGGGCTTCTATGTCTGCTGGGGAAGGAGGAGTTGCCAATTAATGATAGGCTTATATGTCTGCTGGGGAAGGAGGAGTTGCCAAGTGTCTGGGGGACTGGTCTTTTGGTTGCAATGAAAATGCTACCTTCTGAACTTTGTGTTTCTGGATAGTGCAAATGGAAGGTCCATCACTGACTCTAAGGTTATGCAGTTTGTTGTTTTTTTGCAGTTGAATACAACTTGGAAAGCATCTTGAAGCATTTTTTGTTACTTTCAATGTTTTGGGGTTGTTTTTTACTTTAAATCTAAATCTAACCTTTCTGTTGTTTTTCTATTTAGTGCAAAAAGACATCTCCCAAAATTCCCAAATTATGCACTCATTATTTCAGTAAAGTAAAAGAGTATACCAAAAGTCTGTATTTCCTTTCTTTAGAAGTTTTCTAGTGTTTAAATGGCGTACATTGCGTGGGCCGGGTCTTGAGATGCATTCTTAGAGCAAAGCAAACAAAAATGGACGTTTCACGTAAAACGGACAAAACTTTCATCCTCAAAAAAGAAACCCCCAAAGACGTGCACGAGGAAAAAGTTCACTGTGGAACTTTCTTTTGACAAAAATGTGACCTGTTTTCCTGATTGCCCTAGGCGACATTGTGCCTTTACAACAGTGAAGTGGCTGGTTCAGGGATCCTTTTGTCCGTCCCCGTAGTTGTTGTTCTCATGTCTGCTCATGTTTCATGGTTGACAGGTGTCCCTGGTTTTAGTAATGTGCCAGCATCAGAGGTCCAGATGTCCCTTAAAAAAATTTTTTTTAAACATTTTTCTTTCCTCTATAGAGATCTAGATCTACAACTGAAAGTTACAGAGATTATATTTTGTTGGGGTTTTTTTTTCTGACGGATGTGTATTGTTTTCTTTCCAAATACACTACAAATTACTGATACTGATATGTTCTGTTTTCAATTTTTCTGTACATAAAACATGAAAATCATGAAACTTTGGGTTGAAAAAGTGCAAAACATGTCGCGAATGGTGTTACGGTAACTCGCATAATTTTTGCATAATTTTGCTTTTTTTTGTGTGCATAATTTGGCCATGTAAGTTTGCATACATATGGCTGTGAATGCTGGACAATCACTAAAGACAGTGAAAATAAAATAGAAGCAACAGAAATGTGGTTTCTTAGGAGACTGCTAAGAGTATCGTGGAAGGAAAAGAAATCAAATGAGGTAGTGCTTGATGAAGCCCATGTGGGACGCTCACTGTTAAAAACAATCAGGAAACGACAAACGCAGTTTTTGGGACACCTGAATAGACATAAGGGTCTTGAACATCTAGCTCTCACTGGCAAAATTGAGGGCAAGCGAGGCAGGTGTAGGCCCAGAACAACATACTTAGGGAACCTAAACAAATGGGTAACAGGGAAAAATCAGGGAAACGTAGCTTTTCTGAGAGCATCCGAGCAAAGGAATGAATGGAAAATCATGATCGCCGATGTCTGTCGCAGATCTGGCACTGGATGATGAAGTTTGCATAATTCTACGAGGACAGTTTTGTTTTTTATACGGCCTTACTTACAAAAATACTCAAGGGGAGTCTTCAACATGTTTGGAGCATGTTAGATTTGTTGGGTTTTTTGTGTACAAATTGTACTATGGATATATGGATCTTGATGACACCATTGAGCACAATTCTATTTCACCAGCTCCTCCTTTTGCTTTGTTCCAATGTCAGGTTATCACTGGGAGCCAGAAGTTTTGTGCTCAGAGATACTGCCATACATCAGCTTGACCAACCCAACACTGCATGACACAGGTAACTTTGGGAAAGTGTATTCTCAAACCAAGGTAACTTTGGGAAAGTCTATTCTCAAACCAAGGTAACTTTGGGAAAGTCTATTCTCAAACCAAGGTAACTTTGGGAAAGTCTATTCTCAAACCAAGGTAACTTTGGGAAAGTGGATTCTCAAACCAAGGTAACTTTGGGAAAGTGGATTCTCAAACCAAGGTAACTTTGGGAAAGTCTATTCTCAAACCATTTTACTGGTTTCTTGAATATTTTTCCCACTAGCAAAAACTTCTGGATACATTTTTGGAGCAAACAAAAGTGGACATTTTACATAAAATGTTTTTTTATCCTCTGTTTATTCCTGGTGACTGCTGATTTTTATTGAAAATTTGCAGATTGACCCGAGCAGTGGTCATAGAAAAAAAAGAGTTGATCTATGTCTTAGAGTTACTCAATTTGAGAATAGTGCCAGCAATTTGTAACAAAGCAACAGGCTTTGGGCTATCAAGTTTGTTGGTAAAAGTAGACATTAAGTTCCTACACAGTCCCAGTGGAACCAAAGACTATACATGTTCATGGAGTGAACCAGTTGGGTTTTTGGGATCTTGTGACCATAGATGTTAATGGAGTGAACCATTTGGGTTTTGGGGATCTTGTGACCATACATGTTAATGGAGATGAACCAGTTGGGTTTTTGTGATCCTGTGACCAGTGCTATTTTGTTTTGTACAAGTAGATTGGTCTGTGTCACTTCCTCCAACAACTGATGTACGTTGTCATACAATTCAAGATTGTTGGACTTCATGGTGACTTTCCATAAGCCAGTGACACTGATTGGTTGTATTACTTCTTACTTGGAAAATTCAAGTCATATACAGTCAAACCTCTTGCCCCCCAGGCTTTCCACCATTTAGCCAGTGTACAGAGAGAAAGGAACTCCTGTATAAAATTAGTACTGGTGCCTTTGCACTACCGTCTGCCTACTGTCTGAGTTGTATGGTCCTTATAAAAACTAATGTAAATTTGCCCCAGCATACGGCCAGCAAAATGGCCCCCACAGATAGGCACTGTCCTGGGCATAAGGCACCTACCCTACTGTAGAGAGAGAGAGAGAGAGAGAGAGAGAGTGGGAAGAGCAAGAGAGAAAAGATTCTCATCACTAAATACATGTATGTACACATACATCACCACAACAAAAAGACACTTCTCTAGAGGAGATGTTGTTGTTGTTGTTAGTGATCCAGCTCTAGAGTAGATGTTGTTGTTGTTGTTAGCGATCCAGCTCTAGAGTAGATGTTGTTGTTGTTGTTAGCGATCCAGCTCTAGAGTAGATCACACTGCAAAACCAGTTCCCCTGATGTTGGGCAGTTGCAACTGTTCAACTGAAGAACCCCATGAACCGCCAAAACGCCTGCCCCGCCATTCTGCCTGCTTCAAGTTGTCTCAAGGCTGGTGGTAAAAGAAGGTTTAACTACATATTATATATCTCTTCCGTGAACATTTTTCAAAAGCATGGCGGGTAAAAGATGAACTTCAAATAATTCCTGTCAGGCTGTCAGATTTGTTGCAGGTGTAAGAATAATCTGTTGAAGCGGGAGAAAGCTTTCGTTATAAGTGTTCAAATTACATTTTTTCCTTCTTTTTTGCTTCACAGGTCAAATTAGTTTTGTCCAAGAAATGACGCAGTTTTCACAATGGAAACGGTCCTCCAGGTACGGATTTGTAGAGTACCTGTCTGGGTACTTTTTCCCTTGTATTGTTTTGGTCCTCGCGGTTTTCTTTTGTATTGAATCAACTGAGACTCAAAATGTAATTTTCATACAGTTGACTGTAGACATGTGCAAGTGTTGTAAGAATTGAAAAACTGCTTGTGAAAAGCTGCCTAATGAAAGTATTTCTGACCTAGAAAAATGAGACAGCCGAGAGCTCACAGGGTTAGATCGACGCGACGGGATGCAAAAATCTTTTCATCTTACAAGTACTAATTTCGCTGTGTATGTGTTTTGAATACAAAGAATATACATGCATAAGAAGAAATTTGGGACGTAAAAATCTTTTCATCTGTTCTCTTTGTGCATGTTTGACGATGTGCATGTTTGACGATGCGCATGTTTGACGATGTGCATGTTTGACGATGGGCATGTTTGACAATGTGTATATTTGACGATGTGCATGTTTGACGATGTGTATGTTTGACGATGTGCACGTTTGACGATGTGTATGTTTGACGATGTGCACGTTTGACAATGTGTATATTTGACGATGTGCACGTTTGACGATGTGTATGTTTGACGATGTGTATGTTTGACGATGTGCACGTTTGACGATGTGCACGTTTGACGATGTGCATGTTTGAAGATGTGCATGTTTGACGATGGGCATGTTTGACAATGTGTATATTTGACGATGTGCACGTTTGACGATGTGTATGTTTGACGATGTGCATGTTTGACGATGTGTATGTTTGACGATGTGCACGTTTGACAATGTGTAAATTTGACGATGTGCACGTTTGACGATGTGTAAGTTTGACGATGTGTATGTTTGACGATGTGTATGTTTGACGATGTGTATGTTTGACGATGTGCACGTTTGACGATGTGTATGTTTGACGATGTGCACGTTTGACGATGTGTATGTTTGACGATGTGCACGTTTGACGATGTGTATGTTTGACGATGTGCACGTTTGACGATGTGTATGTTTGACGATGTGCACGTTTGACGATGTGTATGTTTGACGATGTGCACGTTTGACGATGTGCACGTTTGACGATGTGCACGTTTGACGATGTGTATGTTTGACGATGTGTATGTATGACGATGTGCACGTTTGACGATGTGTATGTTTGACGATGTGCACGTTTGACGATGTGCACGTTTGACGATGTGTATGTTTGACGATGTGTATGTTTGACGATGTGCACGTTTGACGGTGTGTATGTTTGACGATGTGCACGTTTGACGATGTGCACGTTTGACGATGTGTATGTTTGACGATGTGCACGTTTGACGATGTGCACGTTTGACGATGTGCACGTTCATTTTTGTTTGCTAGAGAGTGTTTTTTTCCTTTCTTCTTAAACTGCTCGTAGAAACAGAACTGGCATGCACATGAAAGCTTGCATCTATGTAGACCTCAATATTCAATGAACTTTCTTCTGAAGATTTAGAACTTGGGGTGTTGTCACATCATTACACAATTGTCTTTGTCCTGTTACCAGGTTTGTATTTTCCCATCGATAAAAATGCCTGATACTTCTTTCATATCCTCCAATCTTATTATATCAGGGTTGTGTTTTGTGTGGAAAAGTCCAGTCACTGAGACATTTGTTCACTTGTCATCAAGTTGTAAGGTTGACTGGAGGACGCCAGGAGGCCTTGGGGTTGCTTTGGTTTCGTTTTTCTTTTTTTTTTTTCTTTTTTTTTTGGGGGGGGGGGGGTAATTTTTTAATATCCTTAAAATTACAAATATTGACTTAGACAACTCTGTTTTGATGGTGTCAGTATTGTCAGTATACAGATACTGTAGAAAAGTTACAACATTATGAACTGGCCTATAATTTTACAAATGTTGACTTTCAGAACTAGGCTAGTGAGACTGGACGAAAAAGATGTTGCCAGTGATGAAGAGGAGGGGGAGGCTGGTGGACCGACTCAGATGAAGACTGGGGCGCCTGTGACAGACGACAAAGCCAGAGATGGACAGTCCAAGGAGGAGTCTGTGGAGGGCGACAGTTTCCTGTCCAGCAGCCAGACCAACGTCCAGAATGTGGAGAAGGAAGAGGAAGAAATACTCATCGAAGAATATGATGACTGATTCATCTCGGCTTACTCTGACACATTTTTAGGAATCCTGTTGTTCCAGATGTTTCCAGAATTGGAGTATTCTCTGATGTCTCAAATCATTTTGCTTTTTTTTTTTTTCCTTGACTACCAATGGCTCTGTTGATGTAATAGAAGTGATGTTGACTTTTTCCATCTCTTTGTTCAGGACAGAGCTTGTTTTTCTGTACATCTGTATAGATTTTTTTGTTTTTTTGTGATTCTCATTTCATTGTTAGAAACACACAAGATCTATTCTTTTACAAAGGCATGCTTTTGGGGGAAATCTGACTGTGCATGGTGGGCCATGAGATGGAGTTGTTGTCATGGGACTGCTGTTGCCCATAAGATGGAGTTGTCATGGGACTGCTGTTGCCCATAAGATGGAGTTGTCGTCATGAGACTGCTGTTCCCATACGATGGAGTTGTCGTCATGAGACTGCTGTTCCCATACGATGGAGTTGTCGTCATGGGACTGCTGTTCCCATAAGATGGAGTTGTTGTCATGGGACTGCTGTTGGCCCATAAGATGGAGTTGTCATGGGACTGCTGTTCCCATAAGATGGAGTTGTCATGAGACTGCTGTTGCCCATAAGATGGAGTTGTCATAGGACTGCTGTTCCCATAAGATGGAGTTGTCATGGGACTGCTGTTCCCATAAGATGGAGTTGTCGTCATGGGACTGCTGTTGCCCATAAGATGGAGTTGTCATGAGACTGCTGTTGCCCATGAGATGGAGTTGTCATGGGACTGCTGTTGCGTTTGAGACTGGATTATATTTGTGTGCTGGATGCTAAATGATGTGTTATGTGTGTATCCAAGACAATGGTTGTGTTATACACCACAAAAAGTTGATCACAAAAAACTGATCATGAAACAATAAAGTTCACAAAAGAGGAAGGAATTTGTGAAAGACTTTGTTTATTACTTGATGGTATGTTTTGTTCTGCTTACGTCCGTTTCATTTCGTTTGTACAGTCCATGCCGGCTTTAAGCACAGTCATCGGGAGAAAGCTTTAGCGTGCTTAAAGCCGGCACGGACTGTACTTGTCAAGTTAGGACAGCAGAAAATATTGATTTGTTGTCATTGAGAAAGAATATGATTCAACTCAGAGTAAGAAAATATGATTGATTGTACAGGGAATTTTTTAAAGTACCAGTACATTTAGCTGGGACAAACTGTGAATAAGACAAAGGTAGTGTGCTGTACATGTAGGCTACTGGTATTGATGCTTGAAGAGAAGAAGCAATTCAGCAGGCAAGAAACAATTTTTTAAAAACATTTTCACCTTTCTTGTCACAAAATTCTCACATTTCTAAACAAAACCAACAAATTAAATAGGGCATTTATTGAACAGGCGTCTGTGGTGCAGCGGTTAGGCGTTTCGCTGTCGCACTCACGAGTTCTATTCATGTGTGGGGAGAGTGTTTAGCATGTGTCCCCCTCAGTCTGTCTATTGGGACGTTGTAAACCTTTCTCATCCCTGGTTGGCTCTGACGATCACGGTCGAAGCCCGCCTCCTAAAGGATCGAAATTGTGTCGATGGAGATCCCATCGCACCTTGGTGTCTCAGGAAAGGAACATACAGACAGGATGGCCAAACTAGGAGCACAGAAAGAGCAACCAGACAACAGCGTCAACTACACAGAAATGAACATTTTTGAAAATACACTCTTTAAAGCACCTCAGACACCAGATAACTACCATGAGCTGTCCCGCCAAGAACATGTGATTATCTTCAGACTAAGAACACAACACACAAGACTGAGACAACATATGTACAAATGTTTTAAATGACAACAATCACCAAAAATGCCAATGTGGAGAGGCGGACTTATCTCTGCTGTAGTGCAAGACACACACCCAGAACCATGAGACAGGAAAAGTAGGCAGCCCCATTGACACTACAAGTACAAGAGAAGCAAGACTATGGGCCGACAGACGAACGTTACACTGACGGTCCAGACGCCCAATACAGCCTAGGACTCTAGGACTGCGACTGTGATAGATACACATGTACCGGACTTCAAGTGTGTTCCGATCACGAAGGAGAAAGAAGAAGTGTCGGTGGGGCCTAAAGACACCTTCGTCAGGCGTGCCAACTGTCTCGAATTTTCAGGATCCTGTCTCAGATGCGGCAGTGGGGAATTTGAGAAGACATTACATACAATAATTCCATGTACATATTTTGGACACTTCACCGAAACCCGCCCCTCTCGGTGTACTTTCGTTCGTTGGTGCATAATCTTGTTTTGAACATTATGCTGTCCTCGTTGTTTTGTTTTGGGGTTTTTTAAAATCAAGTTGTCAAGCCTGCTACATTAGAAATAAAATGACAACAAAAACCATTAAATATTAAAATAGGGAAGACCCCAAGTAAACAATGCTGTGTTTGGATGAACCAAGTGCGCTTTATTTACCGAAAAACAAATTGCTGCATTCACAACTTTGATAAAAACCAAACACACCAAAAGTCCGTGTCTCTACTTTAAACAAGCCAAGATGCGTCAACTGACTCTTTGGAAGAGAAAGTGGGTGCCTGGTTGATACTCTGACGTAGACAGAGTAGACTGCTTCAGCTTCTTCTTGTCACTCTTGCTATTGTCCATGGTTTATGACGAGTTCCTGGCACAATATAGCCTCGATTCAAAAGATGTGCGTGTGTGTGTGTGTGTGTGTGTGTGTCTGTGCGTGTGTGTGTGTGTGTCTGTGCGTGTGTGTG